AGCAGGCTTGAATTTTCCTCAAGGGAATGAAGAAGTTACCACTGATCATTCTGTAGGTTTGAATTGTATTTGCTCTTTAAACTGACCTTGACGATTTTTTGGCTTGTTCTGTTTTTCTTATTCCACCAGAGTGTATACAAATGTGACTTCTTAAATCTTCAAATTCAGCAACCTCTCCAACTGGCACAAGATGCTATAGATGCCTTTCTTAAGCAACTGAAAAATCCCATTGATTCTCTGCCTGGAGAACTGTTCCATGTCGTCGTTTTCTCACTCCTCCTTTCTTACTTTCCATCACCCTATCAACGATGGATATGCTGCAAGAAGGCACATGAACTTCTCGTGTTAAACGGCTTATTGCTAGTAATAACTCCTGACTCATCTCATCAGAATCGCCGGGCTATGATGATGAAAAGCTGGAAAATTGCCATAGAGTCCTTGGGTTTTAAACGCTTCAAGTATTCCAAGTTTTCTCACATGCACCTGATGGCATTTAGGAAAACTTCCCTGCAAACAACAAGTGACTTGGTTAGCAGGAACTACCCAGGAATGTTGTATATCCCACAGGATTTCAACAGTATAGAGGATGAGGAGTATTCCAACACTTCCTGCTATGTTCGATCAGATACAGAAGATGAACAGCTAGCTTATGGTTTTATGGAGCTACCTGATGCTCCCTATGACTCAGACTCTGGAGAAAGCCAGTCTAGTTCAATTCCTTTCTATGAGCTAGAAGATCCTATATTGCTTCTAAGTTAATGTAGTCACTGAGATGCCCTTTCAGTCAAACCTCTTCCTTAACTACTTTTGCTATACTAACATGGGCTCAACACACAAAAATGGTTTGCATAAAGGAAATGCAAAGGTTTACAGAGTTTGCTATTTTTTTCTACTTTTGAATTTTAAAATTTATTCTTGTATGAAAGTGGAAAAAATACAAGTTTTACGCAAATGACTCATGTCATAGCATAAATTGCTGTTACTTTCTATAGATTTGTATCACTAATTTTTTTCCAGAAAGGTACCATTCTTTTCTTTAGTGCTGTGAAGTGTGAATTCTATTTAATTTGCTAAATGTTGTTTCTATATTTTAACTCAATGTGGTTGAGCTTAAGGCACTGGAGTTGGTGGGCTTCTGAGAAGTATATGTAGGAAGAAATAATTTGCACTTTGATTAAATGTGCAGATAGGTTAAGACACTTGGTTACACATGTCCCTTCTTAATTATGGAACAAAACTTTTTTCTAAAATTTGTTTCACTCTGGTTAAGCCTGGGCTGGAGAAAATATAATGCTTGATCATTTGATTTTATGTTTATTGCAGCCCTCTTGAGATAACAGCAAATCGAGGTAACGGCAAAACGCTGCAATATTTTCACCCATAGCTATACATACTGTGTAATTTAATTGCATAAAGAGTAGTTAGACATGAGATTTCTGAAAAGTTATTCTCCCCCCGCCCCCTGCCAGGAGTATGGTACGTCTAGACAATTATGTTTCACTTCCAAGCTGGAACATGGTTTTCTGATTTTGAGTGTACAAGCACTAACATATATCAATATTTCCACAACGATGGTGTTCTGTATTCTCTTCAAAATGTGTTTTTTGGGGGGGCAGGGTGGGTTTTGTCATGTTTTAATGTAAATTATTTATGCGTTTCAAAAACAACTTTTTCTTTAATTGTCCTTACTTGTAGACCTCCCAGGTTATATGGTAACTACAGACTGATTTTGTAAAAAGGAACATAACTATACAAGTTTTTCAAGGATACACATATTTGCACAAAAACGTGTATTCAGACCACGTGAGTGAAGTTAACATACACTGTTTGTTTGCTTATTTGGACCCCAAAATCTTCTGTTTAGTTAAATAAAAATTCCATAGCTGTCTGAAAACTGGTCTGCACTGTAAGGAGATGGAACAGAAGAGTTTTACATCTATGAAGGTTTTAACTTGTGTAAGAAATTTGTGAGTTCTTGCAGGAAAAACCAATTCTGTTCAGTGGCAAAAATAGAGGATTCAGTATTAGTGTTGCTTAGATTTCCCTCCATTTAATAGTGGCCAGAATTTTCAGATTTGAATGTTAGGCTGTTAAATCTATATGCAAGTGCCTAATAATAAACGATTTGAACTAGGTGCCACATCATGGTTTTAAGACTGACTTCAGCAACATGGTAAAAAATACTAGCACATATTTTCACAGGTGGTTGTGATGAAATATACCTTACACCGTATTAACCTACCATGTTGTATTTATAATACAGAAGTTACTGGATAAACTGAAGTTGTAGCGTGCATTTTACAGTGGTTGCTACAAAAATGAAACTTACCTACCCCTTCCATTGAAGTTTTGCACTGAAACTGTCACAGTTTGACCTACCTGGTTTTCTTTTATACTGTTTCCTACAAAGAGTCATCCTGCATTGGTCCTGCTTACACTCAAACATGAACTGGACTGCAGTACTTTATTCTTCAACGCAAGCTTTTTGTGTCTCAATTCCTAAATTTAAAGCATCCCCTAATATCTGATTCAAATTTGTTGAATCAAATTCACTCTGAATGATGTAGTTATATACGAACCAAGCAATTGTATTCTGATGTGTTAAAAAAAAAAAGTCTAGACATACAAGTATCACGGTTGACTTTTTAAATTTTTTTACAGAGAATACTTCTCTAATGAAATACACAATGGCTTCAAAATTGGCTGTAAGACAGTATTTATATCTAACAATTTACCACTTCACCTTCACTAAAATGTTTGTCATTCAAACTCTTTCTTCTTCCCAGTTAACCACTGACTCCAGCTAAAATATTGGTGCTATAAATTCAGCTGTTTATGGAAACTTAGTCTGTGCATACTTCAAAGTGTACCTAACATTTTCACTGATACTCCTTTTAAAAAAAAAAAGTTACATACTAGCTAACATAAATGTTGGCGTTGGTTAATGTAAATTGGTTTGTGATTCATACAGAAAAGCAATTCAGACCAAGATTTATCCCCCCAAAATAGTTTAAAATATTAACATTTAAAATTTAAGCCTTTTTGGCAGGTTAGTGACACCATTGTATTTGTGGTTTAGGGACCTGAGATTCATAACAGCTTGGTTTTCTTGCTGCTCATTCTAAATACCTGAAGTGTTGAGGGGAGTTGGGATTTTTTTTGGGGGGGGGGGGGGTGGTAATCTTTTTTTTTTTTAACAAGGGACAGTAGATTGTGGTAGAGGAGAAAAGTGGTATTTACATAAATATTTATACCTCCCTAAACAATAAAGTGGTGATATCAGGAGTTGTTGGATATTTGGCTTTGGTGCAAGAAGAATGTTCTAGGTTATGAAATATTTGAAAATTAAGACTGCAAGAGATCTCCCGTTCTTACGGTGCTGGAGAGGAAAAGAAAAAAAAAAGTGTATTCGCATTTCTGTTGTCTTTATGTCACTACTTTTTGTGAACAAAGCACATTTATTAAAAACAAACTGAAAACCTTTTTAAAAATTGCTTCTTTGGAGTGGAGATGTCCTTTTTTCTTCCTGTGCAATTGGTTTATGCTGAAATCCAGTGAAACCAATGCATAGTTACTTTCCTTATTGTCAAGAAAATAGTTGTGTTGGGTTCATTTTACAAATAACTGAATTATAGTAAAGATGTTAAATTGGGTAGTTCAGTTTCAGCTATGTCTCGGTTGTGGTCTTTGCTTTACAGAAGAGTTTTTGGAGTTCCTCCAGTTGATCCTGTATCATATTTGTTTGCCCTGCCCGCTTAGGATGTGACCACTTTCTAATGCAGTTCCTCTCTTCTCTCTCCAGATGTTCTTAATTTCTCCTCTGTCTCCCTGAAATATGTTTGCAGCACTCATTGTATGTTGGCCCTTTGAGGTCATTGCTGTATTTTTCTACATGGTGATCTTGAGTGCTGGACTTGTTGGGAAAAGATGGCAATGGGAAAAGAAACCCAAAGAACTGAAAATGCAAGGCTCCTACTCAAATCCAGATTCTAAGAAAATTAGATTTCAGCAGAACTGAAGTGTGTCCCTAGCACTGCAGAGCCTAGCTGGTATATTCTGGTCTCTTACTTGACAGTGAAGTTCAGAAAAATGGGATTTCACAGCTGTTTCCAATTCTCAGTGTTGCTTCCCAACAATCTTTCTATTCTTTTCTTCAGGGAGACTTGCTGACTTGCCTTTAAAAGTGTGACCATCCTAAGTCTTTTTAATCATGTCTATGAATCAGCAGCATGTCTTTGATTCCTTGCAGTTGGGATGTGTATACATTCAGGTTTTCTGCTCCTTTTCCCTCATTTCCTCAATTTTCCTCAATTCATTGTTTCATACCTGTAGAATAGCAGGAAGATTTTTTTTTTTTAAGAAGGGTTGCATTTCACAAACTTGCACAGAAACTTAGTTGGTTTTTTTTAATTTTTAAGTAAAATATTCTCCAAAAAGTTCAAGAAATAGTTGCTTGAAGAGTATTCCTAAATCACAGTCGGACAGATACAGTACCAACTAAGTGTTGTCCATGATGCTGGTAAAGCATTTGGAGCAGGTGACACTTACTAAGCAACTGAGATTTCTACTGCTTGTTAAAGGAAAACCTCTTAGTTTGGGTTTTTGTTTTTGTTTTTTTTTTTAACCTGTGTGACTTTTAGGCCTGTTGGCCAGTTTTATTTAAAATTTGAAGAGGGGTAAGGATTTTGGAGATGTCTGAAGTTCTTGTGAATCAGTTGTCTGAATAACTGAGGCAGGGAAGACAGACTGTCGAAGTTCAGATGTCTGAGTATCCAGCTGCTGCTGGTCAGCCCTAGTGCTTCTTGACTAAGGGGATGAAGGGTCTGGTTGTAATAAAAGGATTACAGGAACAAAGGACATAAATCTGCAGCAGGCCAGCCCTCTTGCAGTTCAAAAAGCCCCTGTGCAGCAGCTGTCTAAACTTACTCAAAGTTGAACTACCCTTGTTTTGCCTGTCTAAGCAGGGGAGCTATTAAGACCCAGAAACTTCCCCCTCTTTCCCACCTGCCTACAAGGGCCAATTCAAAACACTTCCAACACAAAGTGTTGTGAAACACTGGTGGTCAAGGAGGTGTGCCTCCTGTATCATGCAAGGGTGGTGAAAGCTTTTGTTTGGGAAGCACAAGTCGGTCCAGGACCAGAGTCTGCTCCCCCAGAAGGCTCCTGCTAGCAAATCATGGGAAAGGCTAGAGAGCGTTCAGTCCATCTTGCAGTCCTGATTCAAACACAGCTTTCCCTCTTCTGTGACCTAAGCACCAGTTGATAGTGTTCAGAGGTTTTGTGGGGTTTTTTTTCATTCTTCCAGCCTATTAACCTTGCCTATTTTTGCGACTGGAGGGGACAACGCGCTTTCGGTCTTGCCTATCACCTAGATGCTACTGCATTCCCCGAGACAGCTGTGGGGCTGGAGGGTGCCGATGCGAATGCTGGTACAACCCCACTCTGGCCCGACGACACCAGGCGAGATGTAGGTGACTCTTCATACAAGAAAATGTCGCTCTGGACTCCAGGCAGCTGGAGCAGCACAGCCCAGACCAAGGCCTGGCCTTGGCAAGGTGCAAAACAACTGGTTACAACTACCTGAAAGGAGGTTGTAGTGAGGTGGGTGTTGGTCTCTTCTCCCATGTAGTCAGTGATAGGATGAGAGGAAATGGGCTCAAGCTGCGCCAGGGGAGGTTTAGGTTGGAAATTGGGAAAAATTTCTTTACGGAAAGGGTGGTCAAGCATTGGAACAGGCTGCCCAGAGAGGTGGTGGAGTCCCCATCCCTGGAAGCGTTCAAAAAACGGGTAGATGTGGCACTTCGGGCCATGGTTTAGTCTAGTCTATCCTTAATTGGTTTAGAGTGGGCTTGGTAGTGTAGGTTAATGGTTGGACTGGATGATCTTAAAGGTCTTTTCCAACCTAAACGATTCTATGATTCTCATCTGCGGTAAAGCTGTAAGCAGTAGTACACACTACTGCTGCAGGTGAACATCATCACTGGTTTAAGTCAAGTCCAGCAGGTAGCACCCAGACACCAGAACCAAAGCCTGTGGGAAGGACCCAATCAGTCTGGCATTCAGCAAGACTAAACTCTTCAGATGCCTAATGTCCACATATTCTGTGCCACTTCAGGCATTAGCTTGAGATACCTATGTTACAAGCATAACAGCCCTAGGTTTTCTCTGTAGTTAACAG